ACTTCACTCCAAATGCATGTCATAGAGGATCGTCTCTCGCTCCCTCTTTCGCTCTCTCCCTCTTTCTTGTCCTCCACTTTGGTCCAACCTACAGCATTCGTGCTCACGGCCAACACACTCAGCGACTCAAAGAGGCCGACTTCTGCCAAAGCCGCTCTGGCTCGACTACTGGCGACATGCGCTAGACAATACCCCAACAACAATTCGGTAGGTAACCGGCTTGTCTTGTTAGCTAGTCTATGAATAGATACATGTCGCACGCCCTATCCTTTGTGAGATACACCTCCTCACCCCCATCGATGTGATCACAATTCTATATTAAGACAAAGTCTCAGTAGCCGAGATGATGTGACTAACTTTAGATCGGCAAAACTGACCAATTCGTCAAAACAAAAGGCGGAAATAACGGGCCTAATTGTAGCCATTGGTTGTGAAAGTTGATACGGACAATGATAATTTTTTTTGGAGCAGTACTCTTCTCAAATTAGCACATGCTCACCAGACTGACCCTTCTTTTAGGACTAGACTATGTTGGATTCATCAAATCTGCCGTTTTCCGGCCAGATTAAGTAGATCCTGAATGCTTGGTTGGCGCCGTGAACGAAAGACAAGAAGATTTTCTTAGGAGGATGCGATTTTTCGCAAATCCAAATCGCAAGTAGTGGATTCAGATAAATGGCATCACAAATCACGCAAATAATCTAGAAAACTAATCATAAAATGAATAAAATAAAGCATAAAGTATTACAGAAGAGCCTGATTCATAGCATACTCTAGTCTATGCCACACTGCAGAGCTAAATATCACAATACAAATTAATGTAAAAAATAATAAAAATTTAATAATGGACCACGTATATAAATAGTATTAGTGATAACGTTCATATTATTGCACGATTCGCACTATACAACTTGATAATTGCATTATATTCTGACTTGCGAAATCTGACTTTATTGCCTCTTGCTTTGCTCTCATTTTGAGGTTGTCCAGACGCCCCTCATCCGACCGATTCTGTTCTCGTCTGATTCCAGAAAGGGCACTCCACTTAGTCGAATTCTACGAAGAACCGACAAAATATGCGGTTTCCAGGCTAGCTAGGAACCATGACAATGACAACACGTTCGTCACTAGGCCCCGTTGCCACAAGTGCCCTTGGATCACAGGGCAGTTGTGAATTTCAAGGAAGGCCACGCCTTTTTCCCTCTCACATTCTGTGGTGGGATTGTGGATGAAGCAAAGTTTTATTCGCAATATCAATCAACTATGTTATTAATGTTTTGTATATAATTGGGTTTTCATGTGAAAACTCTTCAAATATAAATTATGTGAGAGGAATTCATCCTATTTTCTTTAAGCTGATGAAGGATTGCTATTCCAATTTTCCCACAACGACATGAGTAGAGCTGACTCGTATCAGTGTGGGAAAATTCTACTACCAGTCCTTTATCATATTAAACGAAATTGGATGAATACATCACATATAAGTGATTTACTGTTATTCTCGAAAACATAATTATAAACGAAAAATACGTAATGTAAGATGTGAAGACCAAGATCGTGTGGCCCTCGGTATAGTCGCAGTCTCCTTACGATGTATGCGGCATTCAATTAAGTCACCCTGACAACAAGGCCAAGTTGCGAAAATGAGGTTAATTCACTCCTGATAAGTAATACAGTTGATTGATATGGCAAATACAACGTTGCTTCATAGACAGATTCTATCACAGAATGTGATATGGGAAAAATGCCTGGGCTTTCTTGAAATTCACATCTTTTCTGTCATCCAAGGGCACTTGTGGCAATGAGGCGTGGTGGTTAACGTGTTGAAATTGTACGCTTCAGTGTCATGATTCGAGTCCCGCTGGTGGTGCCGATGAGACGAGTTCAGGCGAGCTCGAAGCTGTGGTCTATCCTGTGTGAAAATAACTTGTAGGAAAACAAGGCTGTGTGAATTTCATTGGAAACGTGATTTATAGCCATATGATTGTGGGAAAATTCAACTGCCAGTCCCCTTGTCACTCCAAACGAAATAGAATAAATGCACATCATGTAGCTGGGATGAGCATAATCAGACGTTAAGATTATTCGAATGTGTTCTCCTTTGAAGGCCTCCAGTTAGAAACAGATGCTCAGTTGGAAGAGAGCGTAGTTTTATGGACCCAAACACAGAATAAATTCGAATAATGTGACATTATCCCGATCACCAGCTATTCCCGTGTAGTCTTGTTGCGGAAACGAACGCAGCTAGACGGAGGAACGCTGCCAACTTGGTTCAGTATCTGCAAGAGGCTGTGCTAAATTCAATTGATCACTTAGTCTTCTTG